GACTGTTTTCTAAAAGAGTTTAATATTATTGAAAAGTATGAAAGTGTGTGCTAGAATTTCAAATGTATAACATTCATGACCATTCCCTACAATTCGACTTTGGTAAGTTGTTTCCTCTCTCTCTCTCTCTCTCTCTCTCTCTCTCTCTCTCTCTCTCCTTCTGTTTCTCTCTCTATCGATCTATGGAAAGTGTTACATGTACCGATCACTTATTTACTCACGAATATCTTGACGTCGATATGTTCTGGAAGAAAAAACAGATTCAATTGTTACTGCTATCTATCGACCTATTTTAAGGTTATCGTCAGGGCGATACTACCAAAAAGATGTCTACAAAATTAAGTTATCTCTCTTAGCTCCTGAAATATTTAAATGTTTATTATCGTATACTACATTTATTCCAAATATGATCATTTCATCTAATCAACATTTTCGTTTCACCACATGCATATAAATGTTTGTACTTTTGTTGAAAATGCGTTTACTTATAGCTTCATAGTCAATAAAGACAAATATTCAATAGTAAATTACTAGTTTTTTCTCACGCTAAGTTAGGCTATTATTTTTCCTTTAAAATAATACTTTATACTTATACTTTTTAAATGTATTTGTATCCTTTTTTGTTGATCGGAGGACTTTTTGTTCCTATAGTTTGTTTTCTCTTGTTTGGTCCGATCAGTTATAGTGGTTATGTATTTTATTTGTGTTCTATACTGTTAAAAAATATGTATAACTTTAGTTTACTTTTTGGAAAGATAAATATTACACACAAACGAGTGCAGTATGAGCTGTAATGAGGGAATTTATAATTAAATTTACAATGCATATATTGATCGATACTTCTTTTGAGGATTGCTCGAAATAACTAAACTCTACTGATCACAAGTAGAATCGCAGAGAGATCCACATAGGCAGTAAGAAGAACGTTTCTGAAAGTCGATAGGGGTTGATTTATGTATTAGGGGTGGTCGCAGTGATGCCACCCCATTATATTTCCAAGTCTAATATAACTCCCCCTTTCTTCTTCATTTGCATATCCCTGGGGGCCCTTATATGATACGGCTTTAAACGGGACCGTCCTATTCCATCATATCAACCGTCGGCCCGAGAAAGCCAGTCCTCAAGGGCGGAGTGGTAAAAATCCAAAAGGGGAGGAACAACCGGCGGCTGCGGTGTAAAAAAAAAGAAAGAAGACTGGGTCGGACACCAGAAGACTAAGAGATTAATGGCTATCCTAATGCTTCAAAACCGGCCGGGCAATATTTTCCCGCCCAACGGATACCTCATTAATGTACTAATTTAGAAGAAAATATTGCTTATAGAACGGTGGGATGAGAAATCAATTATTATCTCCAAGCCATTATTAAAAATCCAATTATACCTCAAGATAGTAAAAATTCTGAAACATCTAGCTTATTCTGTCTGTCTAAATGTCTCTATTTTCCATTTAAGAACATACAAGATTTTTAAGAATATTTCTACTATCATCGGCTATAAACCTACATTATGCCTTGCTTTATACAACCTACACTTTTGTTTTTATGAATATTCATTAATAACAGGTGCATTATTTTACCTAATTTCATATTTTTGGGACAAAATTTGGACGAAATATACGTATGAATTAATAAAGCTAATTTAATTAATAGCTCATCTTTTATAAACTTAAACGCTTCTTACCTGTTTATTACATTATACTCGATTTGTTTTTAACCGATTGCTGCTTGAGTGAACGAGTACTCAGATTAGAGACCAATAAAACCGGCTCTGCGTTTCACAAGGGGGCATGGGTGACAACGCAATTTTGACCTGTACCCCAAATCCTATCGAAGCAACCTTCAAAATCCAAGAACATTTTGTGGCTATGAAAGACTGATGCAAAAAGAGGAGGACAAGGAGGAATGAAGAAAATTTACCTAGTGGACATTATTGAAATGGTAATCTTGCACACTGTACACCAAGAACAAGAGCTATCGACTCTAGTCAGATACTTACGGCTATACCCTGACATGAAAACATCACACAAGACTAAAGAAACATCAACCTAACAGAAGACTTGGACTACTATGAAGACTTTTAGGACTGAAATCTGTTTTGACGGTTAAAACTCCATGAACATTATTCAAGTCGTTACTGTGATCATTTTGGACATAAGGATTGGAACTGTGGGTTTCTGCTAAGCCATCTAATATTCAGCTTCGTTCCTTTTAATCAAAAATCATAAGACAAATCGTACAATTTCCTTAGTACTGTGACGCTACAACCTCACACGTCAGCCTGTCCAAGCGCACTCCTGAAAAGGTTATAGAGGATTGTGGGTAGAAAAGGGCCAGTGTGTTCCCAGAAGTGTAAGAGGCAAGAAGCGGACTTATTATTGCTGGAGATACCAAAGCCCAAGGCACTCAGATAAGTAGAGGCCTGACTCGCGGGTGTCAATCATTATTATTGTTATTTGTTTTCAACGTTCAGTTTCATTTTAAGTTTAATTTCGTTTATCCCGGTGTGGCATAAGAATACCTTTGAATTTCCTTTCTTCCTTCTTTCCTTAATAAATTTGGTGTTAATTTTATTCGTTATTCAATTAATTAACCTTCCTTCCCATTTCAAACTTAATTTTGAGGGAAAACCTTACGGGTAAGCCATAACTGGCTTACACGGGTATGATCACCGATTGGGCGATCATCACAGTACATCAAAACATCGCAGTGTTCAACGGCTTCAACAAACTGCTCCCGCTTCCAAAATTTCCACTATGTTCAGGAGGATCCAGTTTAACCCAATATATATATATATTTTCTTCAAAACTTTTTCCTCCCGAGAACCCGTAACATAGCCTCAAAGTCTCATATTGAGTGCTGAGTGTTTTCTTTTATTTAAAATTACCCTTATCTATCAATTTTAATGCAAGTTCTTCGTGTTAATTACTTTTTAGCATTTTCAGAAATAAAAAGTAAAATGTTTATTATTTCTTCTATGTCCAATATCATATTTCTTATGAATTGTTTTTTAGTAGTTTGATCGTGCGAATCGTTCTGGTCCGCCTAATCTCACGATTTCCTTTGGTCAGGTACGTTTATTAGCTTAATTAGTTGTGCCTGTTCGTTCAAAGTTCATATATATATAATCGCAAGAAAAAAGTTCGTTTAAGGACATGTAAAAAGTAATAATACACTTATAAATTAGTTACAACTATTTTTATATAAGGAGATATGTATAATATTTTAGTTTTTCTTTCACGCTAATGTTGGTTAGTATTGATAACTGTTTCACAGACCTAATGTGCAAAGCGAGACTGAGAGAGCCTACTATTGCAAAGGTGAAATTACAGTGATCGTGCACGCTCTTCGTGATGTATTGGTCGGGTTCAAAGGTAGAAAAACCATCACTACGAGAATGGGTCTTTAATTTAAAGCACTTCGTGTTTGTTCTTTCCAAAGCCAAAAAAGAAGAGATTTGGAAAATGATTATCAAAGACTTTAGGCTTTAAATTAACTCCGAACAAACAATCTTCTCTACACACGTGGAGTTTCCTAATGAAATTGAGGAGATCCCGCGGGAGAGGATTTGGGATTAATGTAGTCCCAGACTAATCCCAGAGTCCCCTTCTAATCCAGGAGACAAAGCACGTATTCCATTACAACGTGTTACTTGATTTAGGGCCGGTTCAGGGATCAGTCTTACACTCCTCGGGCTTACATAACAACTGCTACCGAACTCGATATTAATGCCGGGGTCGGATTACATTAGCATGTTATTATTTAATATTGGGAAAATCTTTGATTGCCAATGAATTGAATATAATTATTTAATATAACAAGTTTGTAAGGGGAATTGTCAGGTTTCCGCACCGGCCTCACTTTGGGGTGGTGGATTGTGCCCAGGGATATTGGACGTCCAGCATAATGGCGTTGACGGGCCGGCAGGATATTTATGAACGCTGCATAGATAGTCTGAATTCGCCGGATGCCGTAAGGCCTTTATAATTTACAGGAGGAATTCCTCGAGTACGCGTGCTTAAAATGAAGGCTTCTTAATCCCGAGGGGATGAAACTTATAGTGGTTAATTGAGGAAAATGAGTAATATATATTATGCCTCGCCGTTTATCAGATCGTTCAATTATTCAACAGATATGAAATTAAGTTAAACTTAATTACAAAAGGATCGAGGAAAATAGTGTTAATTAATAATTAATATTTAAAAACTTTGTCTTGTTGGCAAAAATAAAATTCACTTTTATAATTACGGATTGGCATCATGTTTGACGTTTTATGCTTATTGCATTTTCTACTATTGTTTTGCCCAAATTTTTCATTTTATATAAACATAAAAAATTTTCAGCGGCAGACGGTTTATTTCCATGCCTTATAATGGAACATGTATTTTATTTTTCGTTTTAATTGTAACCATTTTTTATTATATTTGTTTGACATTTACATCTACAAAATTAAGTAAATACATTCATATATTCTAACTTTTTTTAATGTCTTGTAGCAGAGGTTGCCCAGTGTTGTGTGTCGTAGTGTGTAAACATATGTGTATATTTTATATTTTATTGATTTACTGTTAATGCCAGCTGCGTCGGAAAATATAACAGATAGATGGAAATACAAGGAAAATGAAACAGAGTGATTTTAACAGAATAAAATAAAATTATTACAGCTTTTGTCAATATTTTTTTAAACATAAATAGGTCTTATTAAGCATAACAGGTTGTTCAACTAAAGTGCCCCGGTTGTGATTCAATACTGGAAAATTAAGATGCATATAACTTTTAATTTTCCGGGTTTTTGTTGTAAAGTGGAAACGCGAAGCAATAAATCTAAGCGATAGACCTCCCGTGAGATTAAGAGCAAACTATTCATCAATGTAAGAGTGGTAAAAGGTCATGAATTTGCCGACGTTCCGATAAAAAATGTCAAGGAGTTCCCTGCAACCATTCCCGCTTCATTCGTAGCAGGTAAACAACAGTGTAATCATGGGATCTTTTCAACTGTTCCAGGTCCGTCGGGAGGCCGCATCCATGGTAAAATCCCTGTGGAAGGAGAGTGGGAAGTTGCCGACCGCAGGGCTCCCGGGGGGATTTTTGCTCAAGACTTGTTAGAGAACTTGTCATGTACACTTTGGGGTTCACTTTAATTAAGAACTGTGTTCCAGCCAGCCGGGGAAGAAGATAAATTGAGGTAAGGCGTTTTACTCACATCCGCGAAACTCTCTGGTGCAGGTTAATCTTTGAAAAGAACATCATATTTTTGAAACAGGCTACGGCCCGGACGGTGCGCTGGATTTAAAAGGCATTCTTTGACCACATATTTATTTTCTTGGGGGGGGGGAGAAATGAGACACATTTTTAGAGTATAACACCTTGGTGTAAAATTTGATTTAACAAGTGCGTTATGTGTGACAGTGATTGAGTGGTTTGTATGGTCGTGTGTGTTTTCGCCTTTGTATGCAAATAGTGGACACAAATAAATATATGGCAGTAAGTTATGCGGAAATACGCAAGGATTGATAGATCCTTGGTATAATAGATAGATTGGATGGTAATACAAGAACAGAACATGTATAACTGAAAGGATAGAAGCATAGCAGGCTTTTAAGATGAAAAAATTGAAATGTATTACAGGTTGGAAAGAAGTAGTTTTTAATGTTAGAAGTATCGACCACTTTTTCGCTAACAAACACCCTGGATCAAGGATTGGTCTTGAAGAAAAAAGCAAAGTCAATTGTTATGTCTAGCTTTCGACCTATTTTAAGGTAATCATCAGGGCCGATATTAAGGGGCTAAGTGAAAGAGAGATAGAAAGAAATAAGAAGAAAGAAAAGAACGGGTGGGAGGGAGAGGAGTGAGTGTGTGTGAGAGAGAGAGAGTGAGGGGGAGAAATGTAAAAAAATTACTTCTTTAAACTAAAATGTTTTCACCGTAGTATGAAGTAATGTAAAGAGAAGGAAAATCCATTATGTATTGTAGAACTATACATTATTACAATACAGATCAGATTTAGAACTACAGCGGAACGTGACCCAATCTACAAAACAAAATATATAGTAATTTAAATTTAACTACGCATTTCAGAGTTTGGCTGGTCACTACTAACACTAAAAAGCATGAATAGGTCTCATTTTAATGATATCCAATATCAAGTCCATTGCGACATGATTCGCGAAACGAATTGAGACCACTAATGCAATTGTAATGAAAGATAAGATCTGTAGTCGAGAAATGAATACACAGGCTACCCCTAAAGCCTCCGGGTTATTAATGATTAAACTTGGCCCCTCTGGATTTTAGCTCGTGATTAACTCTTTAATGATAATTATAATCTAGTCAATGATGACTTCAATCTAATCTCAAATGAGCTGGCTAATCGTTAACTGTCTGAATTCAGCTTTGTTCAATTTGAACTATAGATGGGTAGAGTTTAATGTTAATATTGTTATTTTCCAACGTTGAAAATAACCTGACCTGTAATGTATGCGTAAATTGCGGAAATAATGGGCAAAAATGCTATTACTCTTCGGCCTTCCCCCGCTGGAAATATCTGATCCCTCATTAAACTGTTGGCACCCCCGTACACACAATTCTACGTAATTATTCCACCGTGGATCCGGCCAATTTTCGCTTCGGGGAGGCGGCATTCTTGGGTCGAGACCCTCCGGACGAAGGGAAAAAAACGCCCAAGGGGTGAATAAAAGGGCCGTCGATAAGTTCAATTCGATGAAGAATTTTGCTATTACCAAACTTCGAGGGGTGACTTTATTACGTTACGAGATGAAGTCGTTCGCAGATGCAGAAAATTATCGCCGACACCCTTCCACCAGGCCGGCTCCCAGTTTCTCCCATTTTTCATTAACATTAACATTATCATTAAAAAAAAACTGCAAGGCATCACTAAGCATGAATTTACTGTTAAATAATTTTATCATTCCTCGTATAAACTGTTGTTCTTGATACCTTGTACACATAGTGTACAATAAATCTGAATAAGTTATCTACGCTACTAAATATTGTAATACATTCTCTCAATAATATTCGTTGAAAAATGGCAAAATGGAGGGAAAATTCAAAAAGGTGGGGTGAGATGGGAAGTTAGTGCCCGAGTGGATCGAAGTCACGATAGCTCAAGTGGTAGAGCAGCGGCGTATCAAGCCGAAGGTCGTGTGTTCGAATCCCGCTCGTGACACTGACTTTTTTATTTTAACTAAAAACCTTAATTAATCGAATGATATTAATTGGTCAAGCGGACCACGAAAAATAATGAATATTCGGTAATATATTCAATAAAAGACCACCTTCCTTTAAGGAACCATAGTATGCCACTTTTCTTGAAAGATTCTTTACTATCATGTGTGTTCGACACGAAGAGAAAGGTAGCCCAATGGGTCCCACTTAATTGAAGGATGTCATTCTTTAGCTCAATATAGAAAACTAGTAGAACCGATATGAGGATTGAGATTGAGTATTGCAATAAGTATTTTGGTCCCATGTTCGGATTTTTGGAGAAAACAGGGCTGTTTTCGTGTATATATTACTTGATAGATATCTAGTTTTGTGTTTCCTTTTGTGAATATCGAGAGTGTATTTATTAGCGTGAATATTTAGTGGTGAAAGAGATGACGTTGAAATATTAAGTACCCCATCGACCATCAATTATATTAGTTATATAATATTCGTAAAGGGAGATGGAGGAATATCAAGTATTCCATCCTAATTGAATGATTGGAGGTATTTAAATCGAAAAGAATGTATTTAAGAATGGGTGGAAGTGTGAATGTGCTTAGATTAAAAAATTGATTCTCTCTCATTGATTCTGAAATGGCTTAGTTTTTAACAGCCTAACTCCCACTGTCAAAACGCGATGTGAGTAATCATATGTTTAATTCTGTACGCATCTCTATGTATACATGAAGGTGCAGGATTGAGCTTATATAAATCAATAATCGGTAATACAGAATAAGGGACCGAAACATTATTGTTGGGCAGAAATAATTATCATATCGAGTTATATTGCTTATACATATTACCTATTATATGCTTATTAACTTCCTCTGAGAAACCGTCATATGAGACTGGGATTCTTTCCTTTTCTCCCAATTGCTCACTGCTAAAATAGAAAAAGGTTCCGAACTTTCATTACTCACGTTACTTGATTACACTTTTTTTAGATAGTTCTAATTTTAGCAAAGTACATTTTTTATTATTTAAAATAGAAAATTTTATTGCGACAGTTTGTCAATGTCGGCGAGGGTAAATTAGGTTAGGGATCAGATTAAATTTCAAAGGCTTGAAAGAAAAGAAAATAAGAAGCATTTCGGATGGGGGAGGAGTACGGGGTCCAACCAACAGAACTGGGTGAAATATACCAGGTCGGTAGGATTGAGGTCGGTAATGAAGGTTGATCCCGGGCAATTTCCTGTAACACGGGGGGCTCTGGGGGTGGGTGGAGGGTTGGCAATTCAAATCAGTCTGCAGCACGGCGAGGGGGGTGGGCAAAGAATGGGGGCCGACCACCGCCATATCTCAGGGGGAATTTATGGGCCGCGATACGACAAGGAAATTGCGAGAATGGGGGCGGTGGAAAGAGAAGTAGGGAGACTGTAATCTATCTTTGTTGGAGATGGTCGGAGGGGGTTGTGCCGCGTGGGTGGGATGAGGGCGAAACCGGGAAAAGTAGGAAAAACCCGATCCAGGAGAAAAGGGATGAAGAGGGAAGAGAAGGGGAAAGGAGAACGAAGAGAATGAAAGAGGTAGAAGAGCAATTTAGGGCCTAACAAGATGAATGGGCGACAGGGAAAGAATTCGAGGGGGGAACAAATTTGTCTGCATTCTGCAAGAATTGTATTGCCTCAACCGCCCCCCCCCCCGCCTTACTAGAGCAATGTTCCTGTCCTCCAAAGTCGCATCTTTCATAACAATATATTTATATACAGGATTTATATCGTTCTGGGGTAGTAAGTGGACGATTCTAATAAGAATACTCTGGGGAAACCTTAATATTCCTTGAAATGAAACATGAAGTTAATTTATCTCCTCTCGACTCGTTTATCATAGCAGCCAAAGCAATTTTTCCTCAGTAATAATTCGTCCAAACACAGTAAATAATATTGCATTTAATATTTACTCGGGTGGAGATATCCTTGAAACACGGTGACAGATTCCATATATCCCCATGATTATTAGTCCGGTTAACAGTAATTAAAAGTAATATATTTACACTTAAATGACTTTATATATATTTATACTTAAATCTGTAGTTTGGTCATCTGTGATCACTTGCCCTGTTACCTTTATTTTTTTCCCACACGCTTTTCTCCATCTAAATTGATGTGTTTGTGTACCTAAATCGTATTTTTGTACGTTTTTACCTCAAATATCTTTTAACTTTTACAAAATTGAATTTAATTATAATCCATGTTTTCTATGTCAGTTGTGAAATTTTTCTTGAAATATGCGAGGAGATTAACCCTTGTTGCGGTCCTTTTCGCTCAATTTGGTAGGCCTGTCTATTAAATTTTTATCGTTTAGTTTCAATGGGAGAACATTTTTACTGTAATGAATTTTAAAAATTCCCTCACCACACGCAAAGCGATAGCTAAGATGATTATATTAAAAGAAAAAAATAAATATCATATAAACACACTGAAGATGGCGAATTGCCGAAATGTGTCTGACCAAAACAAAAAGCAGACCATAAAAATAAGAAATCATCAAATTACAAGTTTTATTAGTTTCTTCTACTTGATTTGATTGATATTATCCCTAATATTACAATTGAACATAAAAGATCAAACGTGATTTTGCACGAAAGGAAACCACTGTCTTAGACAAGAAAACACAAGTACATAAAACATCAGAGATAAAGCGAATTTAAAAAAAAGCACCCAGTTCCATCGTCAAGCATTCGATGAATATATCCCATTCCTCATGACTTCGAAACTAATTCTGATGATTGGCACGGTTACAATGTAGAATGGACGGATGGTAGATGTCCACTAATAACCTAAACACTTAAATTTATTACGGTCGGAACCATAATTTCAAATATTCAATATTGTATGTGTATGTTTGTATTTGTTAAATATGTAAATCATTAGAAGTTTCAAAGTTGTGATGATGAGGATACATTTCTCGAAAGCTTGATGATGGAACTGGGTGCTTTATTTTTACTTCGCCATATCCCTG